CAGAACCCCCGTCCGATCATAATCTCTACTGTGGCCAATTTTAGAACCCATCTTAGTCACTTTTGATAGTACGGTAACGTTTTAACCGTGAACCTCTTCAAAGTTTCGAGAAATATACGACCCCATTTTAGTAACTCTACTGAAAAATCAACATCATTGTGGCCAATCTAGCCGTGAATTGCGTCCTCATTCAGTGGCATATCCCCATTAGCCCATGCGTCCCCCCTCCTGGCGATCATCCCAAAAGTCCTCTTTCCCCCTCCAGACCGGCCCTAAGATAGGGTGACCTCTGAGGACGTTACTATAGTATGAAAGTAAGCTGCCACTATTGTAGCGCAGCCGAAGCAATTCAAAACCGCACCTAGCGGAATGTGCATAGGTGGTCGGTTGTAAAGTTGAGATTTAAGACACTTTACAGGGGCGTAGCCAGCTTTTCGAATTGTGTGTTTTGTTTTTAATTTTTGTTTTAACATGTCCTTACTTATAATATATGAAGAGATAAATAAACAAAATGTATATTTATGTCATAAACATTTCAGTGGAATTATTTGTGAATACAAGAACTTCTAATAGGTGTTCAAGACCGAGTGCAAAAGGTTGTTTTTTTAACTTTATTTCAGTTGCTCATTTCGTGCGAGTGTTATTTTCATCCCTGAGACGACTTAACATTAATTAACAGTTCTCTATGAGTTGTTTCCTCGCCATATACCAGAGTGTTGCTTACTACACTAGCTGATTCTTGTTTCAATTTCTCGAGTCCATAATCTTTTTAATTGTGTATCATAGCTTCGTCGTTAGCATGGTTAGAGCAATTTTCAATTCGGGGTCGACAGTGATTCGGAGTTGCTTTATTTTTTCTTAATTTTGCTCAGCGATCGAAAAGCGCTCAAAGTGCTCTAACGTATAATCCATGGGGAGATAAATCAACCAAAGGCGCATCTATGTAATAAACATTTTCAGTTGAATTATTTGTGTATACAAGAACTTCTAATAGGTGTTCAAGACCGCTGTTCACTCTCAAATTACGGACTCCACCCTAACACACACACCATCTTTTGCTGACAAAGTAGCACCAGCATGTATGACTAAAGGAACTCGTGTCTCGGGTGACTGCACAAACTTGTATTTCACCAGAATCCTGACCAGGGCCACCTTGATTTCCAACAGAGCAAACCTCATTCCAATGCAGTTTCTTGGCCCTGCACCGAATGGTATGAACTGGAAGGCATGGCGAGCATCTTTGGATGGTCCACGGAACCTCTCCGGATCAAACTTTTCCGGCTCCTCCCAGGCATCTGGATCACGATGTATGGCGTATATTGGAATGATTATCTCCGTTCCAGCAGGAATGTGGATGCCATTGAGGTCATAATCTTCAGAACATTCTCTGTTGATTTGGGCAGCTGGCGGACATAATCGTTGCGCCTCTTTGATGACGCAGTCGAGGAACTCAATATTCTGGGCGACATCGTACAAAGGTTTCTTAGCGTTGGACTCGAGGGCCTCGCTAATCTCTTTCCTCAGCTTGTCTTGCACATCCGGGTTTACAGCCAGGAAATACAGGGTAAATGCCAACGTGTTGCTCGACGTTTCATATCCAGCTAATAGGAAGACAATAGATTGTGCTACAATCTCTTCATCAGAAAGCCTTCTGACACCTTCGACCGTGGTTTCATCATTAGCATTCATCATAAGTTGAAGCAGGTCTTTTCGTGCACTGGGCCCCTGCTGGCCACGGGACTTGATGATCTCTCTGACAACGCCTTCGAAATAGCTCGGAGAAGTTCCTTTAAGCTGCATTAGCAGCCTCAGTAAATAATTGCCCAATGGAAGGCGAGCCATCTGTCGAATAATGTTTGGAACTTTAAAGA